TAAATCATGTTAAAAGTGAATAACATTTAATATGAATATTACTAAAATTGATTAGAAGTATTCAAAATCAAAATTTAAAACTTCTAAACCAAATATCTAAGAATAGTTGAATATGAAGACTAATTTTATTATATAGTTTTAAGGCTTTTAGAATGATACTTATTTAAAACTTAGTTAGGAAAATTATAAGATTATTTTAAGAATAAATTAGAAATTTAGGGTTATGAGAATAAAGACGCAAACCAGTTCTAAGAGGATAGAGTTGTAAGTGAATTAAAAATTTAGGATTAATGTTAGAGTGTATGATTAAAATAGAGAAATAACTTAGGGAATATGGAGATGTTTTATTTTTATTTTTTAATTAAGTTAATGGAGTTATAATCTTGTAAAATAAGAAAAAAAAATTAAAATACTACAAAAAAATGTTATATTATTCAATTAAATTATTTTCTAATCGGATTTTATTTTGTAATCGGGTAGTTCGGGCAATTTAAAAGTAAAATCACGAACCAAACCAATTATATTGGTTTTAAAAATTTTAAATTCAAACCTACCCAATTTAATATCGGTTTGGATCGATTTTTTATTAAATCGAATTTAATTAGGTCGGATCAATAAGATTGGATCGGATATGAACACCCCTATTACCACGTAGGCATGAGATGGCCATATTTTGCCACACGAGGCAATCTCCAAATGGCAATTAATGACAATTAACAGCAGTTAAGTTACTGTAAGAGTAAGAGCTAAATTGCTTCTATGGCAGGGTTTAGGGGCTTATATGCATTAATTAAAGTCTGAGGGCTTAATAGTGATTCTGGGATTAGTTCAGGGGCTTAACTTGAGGTTTTGCCTATTCTATTTATCTTCCAATAAGAAAATATACTAATATTCTATTTACCGCAGTTTTGAAATATAATAATTGAAAAAGAAAGAGTACGTAGTGCCTTTTTTTTATCATAAGCTGCATCCAAAATAGAAAGAGCAGATTTTTGTAGTTGAAAAATATGGATTTATGTGGTTGAGGTCTCAATTGACAAATAGTCAAAGTTTTTGGTGGAAGAAGATTGACAAATGGTAAAATTGAGCAAATTCATTCATGGGAGTATGTGTTTAGACACCACAGTATTGAAATTGATTCATCAAAACGTTGATTTCTCACCTTCATACTTTATTTCTCGGTTTAAGTACCATTTTGGTCCCTCAACATTTTACTTTGGCACCAAAATGGTCCCTCACCTTTAAAAAGTACCAAAATTAACATTAAACTTTCATTTTGGTACCAAAATGGTCCTTCCGTCAGTTAAATGATAGGTAGCACGTTAAAATGCCACAAAATCAATTCTTTTTTTGCTTGATTAATGACATGGAAAAAAAACACAGTTGGCCATCTTTTTTTTTATGAGGTGGCATTTTTATTTAATTTAAAAATTTTGATATCCTTTTTTTCCATCCACGTCATCTCTTCTTCCTCTTTCACTTTCTCTCTCTTTTACCTTTCCTTTTCCCTTGCCTCTGCAAACCCAGATCTGGGTTCTCTCGCAAACTTCATCTTCTTCCTCTTTTCCTTTCCTTGCTCATCCTTCTTCCTTCTTCTTCTTATTCTTTCTCTCTCTCTCTCTCTCTTCTCCTTTCTTCTTCCTTTTTCAAACCCAAATCTGGGTTATTCTCAAACCCAGATTTGGGTTTCATCACATAACATGGAAACTAATCTTGAATATACTAAACAGCAAAGCCGAGATCTCCTAAGCCAACTAACAGAAAAGAACATATTCTTGTCGCGGAAGTGCTGCAAGTTCAAAACAACCCTGCCCTTGCTGACGGAAAGCAAGTCTCTACTTCATTGGAGTTTGATCTGACGGAAAGCAAGCATCACCGGGTGAGGACATCAGTGTCGTTTCGGAAAGCAAGCCGAAGAAGGAAGCAGCTTTTCTAAAACCCAGATCTGAGTTTGAGAGAGGAAGAAAAAGGGATAAGAGAGAGAGAGAAAGAATAAGAAGAAGAAGGAAGAAGGATGAGCAGGGAAAAGATAGGAGGAAGAAGATGAAGTTTGCAAGAGAACCCAGATTTGGGTTGCAAAGGTAAGGGAAGAGGAAAGGTAAAGGAAAGAGAAAGTAAAAGAGGAAGAAGAGATGCGTGGATGGAAAAAAAAGATATCAAAAATTTTAAATTAAATAAAAATACCACCTCATAAAAAAAAATGGCCAACTGTGGTTTTTTTTTTTTCCATGTCATTAGTCAAGAAAAAAAAGAATTGATTTTGTGGCATTTTAACGTGTCACTTGCCATTTAATTGACGGAAGGACCATTTTGTACTAAAAATGAAAGTTTAAAGATAATTTTGGTACTTTTTAAAGGTGAAGGATAATTTTAGTACCAAAATAAAAAGTTGAGGGACTAAAATGGTACTTTAACCTTATTTCTCTCACACTTTCCTCTCTCATTCTTTGACTTGTATATTCTTTCTGTACTTCTTTAAATCTGTTCATCTATAAATTATAAAGATATTTCGCAAATAATACAAAAAAGAATTTATTATTCATTGAAAATCTCCTCTTTCTCTTTTCTAATAAACCAGATACTTTGAACGCATTCCTATAATATGTTGTTGTCATGGATAATGGTACCCGGTTGTTCCAAGACTAG